TTTGGTGTTTCAAGAGGCACAGTATTTGAGATTTTTAACAGGAAATCCTACAAAATTACATCCCCTAAATCTTAAAGCAGTTAAAAATGTGTGTTGAGTGATCATGAGAGACGATCATTGAGGAGGATTATGATGATAAATAAGAGAACGACAATGACTGCTGTACTCAATGTCGCACTCTATCGCTGCATTCAATGCCGTAGACTGCTTAGCTCAATGTCGCGCTCGAAAACTCTGTAAGCACAAAAATAGTACGAAGGGAGTAGGGTATTTTTGGTATCCATACGAGCAGGGTATTTTTAGACGATGCAAAAGCTACTCATCAGGGTTCTAAATCCCTGTAAGAGGAAAAAGTGGCGCCGAAATCATTAAACCTGTAACGAAAAGGTATAGAAAACTGCCATTTGTTCGGAAGAGTCTCTCCTCACACTTTTTCCGAGTCTTACGGGACTCGGAAACAGTGTGAGGGTTTACGTCTGGCCAGTGCTGTCCTAAGCGTATGATAGAAACGTTTTGCTGCCGGCAGTGAAACATGGCGGGGTTTTGGTCTTGGTTTGGACAGCCATATCGTAATACTCCATGTGACCCATCATTACTGTGCAAGGCCTCATTATGTGATTATTATGTCATATTATGTGATAAGAATTATGTGACTATTTCAGCTGATCACGTCCATCCCATGGTAAAAATTTTGTTTCCCAATGTGATGCTGTATCCCAAGACGATAGAGCTCATATTCACTTAGTTCACATTGTCCAGGGCTGGTTTTATGACCATGAGGCTAAACTGTCCCATCTATCACGGTCACCAGAGTATACCACCACATATCATCATTATTTTCAAATACTATAAGGTACTTTGAAGAGAAATCTGCGTGAGCGCTATTTACCATCATCATCGTTAATTGAACGTACCAACGTTTTACAGGAAGAATTGTACAAGATACCTATGAAATCGTACAAGACCTCTAATTATACATACCGAGAAGACTGCAAGCTGTTTTGAATGCCAACGGTTTTCCTACACATGGATTTCTGTTAGTCACCGCCCAACATGTTATATTTCGGTGTTGCCACATTTTTGTCCAACCCCTTACTTATGTGTTCTGTTTATATATGTGTTGTTATATATATGTGTATTGTAGATAAATATGTGTGTGTATCAAATCTTTGTAATTCCTTAAATATATCATTAAGTATACATAAATTATACATTAATATATCCTGAATATTTACAAACAATAACGGTACCTTCAAGCAGTTTTGTAAATAAGAATGCATAGCATGTCATATAGGGAGAAATCTATTTCTCTTTAAAATAAAATTAAAGAAATACAGAAATTTCGACTTTTGATCACAGTGTTTAGCTTCCCTTTACTGTAATATTATAACTGTAACGCTTTTTTCAATAAAAATGCGATTATCTGTTCATAAGGTTTAGATACGATCATGCCGAAGTAATTCCATATTTCTTCCCAAAATTTTCCAGAATTTTCTATTGACCATTTGTGGAAATCCCAATAAGAATCTGCAAAGGAATTTACATTAATTTATTTTTAAGTGGTCTTAGAAGTAAAGACGTGTCAGAAAAAAAAAATCACTTTTAAATTTAAAGGATAAAAAATGAATAAAATTATTGTTGACTGAAAGAATATATAATTTATATACACTCATCTCATCGAAGATTATACATTTAAAATAATTATGCACTTAAAAATATAAATAAATATTGACTATTCAGTTAGAAAAGCATTTCAATAACATAACATTAAACAAAGCATTTTCATTTTACATTTTATGTATTTTCATTTCGCGATTGTTTGAATATTGTGTGTATAGTTTCCATGATGAAAGTAATAAATGAAATTGTGAACATGGTTACAAACATATTATTACAGCTTTCGGTTGTTCAGGGACAAGATAACATATATCTATGTCAACGGATATATAGATAATCAACGGTCTGGTGTGCATAACATTACTGGAGAACGCCACGTTTACTGATTGACTATGAGCGTTTATTAAGTGCTATGTTGTAAGCCAAAATAAAAATTCAGAAAAATATGACTTTTTGAAAAGTTTCAAAGGGTTTATTAGCAATATGATGCAGTAGAATATACATCAGAAGGTATTGCGTGAAAAGTGTTGCATTAAAATAGTTCACTGATGTTATTTTAAGGTTTCTGAATAAATTTAAATGCCAACGTTTCGTATGCCTTGTGATGATATACATTTGGAAGTCTTGACATGATTGGATTGGATGTATAGAAAAACCTGATGTGTACATCCCTTGACTTCCTTGTACAAATAAATTATACGCAATTTTCCTGCATTTCATTTAAACATATTGAATTAACAGTTAACGAATTTTGAATTAAGTCTATTTCGTCGATAGCGCATAAACCACAACAGAATAAACCCACTCTTTAATGTTCACTATATTTATTTACCATAGCGACACTTCGGCGCTAGGTTCACTTAACAGCATTACATCTTATTCATTTTACAACTCAGAGTGCACAAAAATTATATCACCTGATTTATCACCTGAAAATTATATCACCTGACCATGTGATTATATCACATGTTCTTTTCAAATACTATAATAAATCTAAAACGATGTTTAAGAGAAATTAAACAAATAATAAAGACGCAGTTTTTTCACGCCACTTACCTAATGCGCATACGCTACTAATTAATTCTGTTCTCTCTTCGCGGCAAGTCAAAAATACATAAAAATTCAAAATATTTCTCATAGATGTCAATCAAAGTGAATTCGCTCGCTGATTGGAGAAACGCATACGCAGCAGTGGAAACGGGCCTTAAGAACGATATGCAATAATGTATCTGAATACTCTCTAATTAAGTAATTCAAATTAAGTAATTTGGGTCCCAATAAGGATACAAATGAATGTAATAATATAATACTGTATAATGTAATAATGATTAATGTATGTGTAATGTATATATAATGTATGTATAATGTACGTAAAATATATAATGTATGCCATTGTTACGCAGCAATAGTTTGTCAACAATATGTAATAATGCCATTATCAATCTTGCCTTAGACTTTCCCAGCTTGCAAATGCAGTGATGACCCTTGTTAGACCATGTAATTTTCTATATATACAACAACAAATACAGAGGCTCGGACAAGCGGATGGGAGAATATCCCCGGAGGGCGCTTTTGGTCAGTGGGACCGTCCTCGGGGTATACCGGACGCTGGGTTTCGGCGCCCCGTGCGAGACCCACGTGTGGCTCTCAAGTTCGACTATAGATACTGGTGGACGTGGCGCTACACCAATTAACCATATGGTAAAGGTGTGGTGCCCACGTCCTCCGTCGCATGTCGCATGTCATTAAAAATAGAAAGATATAGAAAAACATAAAACACCAAGTACAGTTAAAACAATTAAAAAAACAATTTTACAATTAAAATTACACTTGTGCAAAAACAAGCTAATAACTTAAATGATAATTCCAGAATGAATTAAGCATAATTTAATTCGCAATAATAAAAGAAGACATTACTTTGTTGTTGCGAAGCTTAATTTCTCTAGATTGGCAGCAAATCAACTATTTTGCTAAGTTTCAAATGTAAACAAATATGGCTGCCGTGCTAATCAAAAATTAGGCTTAGCCGCACTTAAAAAACTTTTAAATTGTTGATATTGCAGGCAAGTTACCTAAAGGCATAAAAACTTTAAACGGAAGATAAAAACAACGTAAGTCAATAATATTTAAAGCAAAAAATGCACAATTTACAAACATATAAGAATAAAGAAACTGACCTCACTGAGCCTAGTAACAGAGTGGATATATATGTATGCATATATTTATATACTTTTGGTGCGGCTGATTACAACCAAAATGGTAAGGTGCACATCTACATTTCATAGCAGTCCTATATACAAAATTTCAACTTTCTGAGGTTTCTCGTTTTTGATTTGAGTTATGTGAGATATTAGGTAAATAGGTACAGATGCCACAAAAAAAATTTCTTCAGAATTCATTTAAAATCATTTTTATAATTTCTTGTGGTCCTTTATTCTTATGCATGGATGTCACAAACATAAACATCGTTAAATTGCATTCGATAGCGGTCAAAATGGATATTTTCGATGAAATATGATACCCGAAATTTTTCGCGATAACAATACTTCCTTTTTACTTCACACAAGGAAGTAAAAAAGAATGGAAACACGACTTAGATCTCCATCCACTGAATTGGAAGGGGGAACAATGTGGCCCATGAGCAATGCATTTCTGGCGTTGAGTGTAACGCAGATGCAGAAGGGGCAACTGAAATTGAAATTTATTACATGCTAACTATAAATGGCGAGCAGATACCAGAACGGTAAAAAATTATAGATTACACTTTATAAAAATTTATATAATGAAGAATTATAGTTTAAAATAATGTAATAAAAATTACTAATTTAATTACACATAAGCAATTCGTTGTGATTTATTTCTTAAGGTCCACGAATTTTATAATAACAAAGAATCAAGTGTATATCCCTAGCTTCATTTAAACTGCCAGATCAGTCCAAGTTTTAAAAAAGTATCCTTTCACTTGGACGGATCCGAAAGTCTCCCTATTACCATTACAAGAGAGCGGTATAGCTGATTGTTTATGTTTCCTGATTCGGGATAAATGTGGTGACTCTAAGCCACCCAAACTAAAATGTGGTAAACAATAATATGTTGTCATACGGATTTGGCCACTGGATCACTTTAAGTGGAGAAGAATGTAAGGAATTTTCTTCTCTCATATTGCGAATCTTTGTGGTGTAATTGAAGGCACTTCCGATTACCAACCGGAGTTCAGATTCCGGAGCAGACGTTGCTGATTTTTCGTGCTTCCTGATTACTTCTAATTTTATGTTTATTCAAAGTCCGAATTTCCTGCTTCATAAATTTCTTCTCATGCTCCCTAATTTAAAATATTTAATTGTACAACGTGTCATGCCTCGCGCTCGTTCAAACACGAGGTGGGTTCTTCTGTGTAAACTTACCATAGTGGGAAAATAACAGTTGTCCGCTTTGACATTTTCTTCACTAATTTATTACACAAACTGCACTATGGATACACCATACAACGAGTACACTGTAAAAATCTATATACAATAAACTATATACAATATATATATACAAGGCGCGCAAAAGAAATTAAAACATATTTCTTTTTCTCTACGTTCTCACACGGCATGCTCGCCGGTCCAACTCCCCGTGCCCTCTCCGTCCAGTCTTTCTTCTCCCCCACCAGCCTGCCTCGACCGGTTTTTCCGGGGTAAGTCACTTCCGTTCTTCGTCTTTCATCAGGGGGAAGGAACTTCACACCTCCCCTCTGGTTTGTAAATATTTACGACTGAGTCGAAAAATTTGAAACCCATATTATTTTGGCACTTACCAGGTAGTCCCTCTTTTCCCGGGACACCGCACAAGGAATCACAGTAAAATCAGAGAGCAAAAAAAAAAAAGGGTCATGCTACAGTTATAAACACTAACACAAAAAAGAACACTTAAAACACATAAACATAAAAACTGCACATGTCCAAATTTCTACAGCGATACAAACAAAACATTGCAATCAATCAACTCACTGACACTTCTTTAAGGAATAATTCGTTTACTAATATACCCTAATAAAACAATAACATATTAGTAATGAATCACCTTTTCTAAAGTAACCACAATAATACAAAAAAAATAATAAATGAAAATTACAATATCTATATACTTTTTGCCATACTAGCATTGAACATTATCGTTTCTAGTGTTACAATAATAAACAACACACACAAAAAAATATATGATACCAAACATTAGTTTCCTTTTTTTTTTCCCCCAATTTAGTTCAGATTATTGGTCACTTATACATTCGTGAGGGATCCTCGACAATGCGTCTGCATCGGAGTTTTTAGCTCCTGGTTTATGCATTACAGTGACTTGGAAGCGGGATAGAGCTAATGCCCATCTCTGTAATCTAGCATTCCGGGGTATCCCTTCGGTTAAGTACTTTAATGGGTTATGGTCTGTATGCAACAAAATTTTATTTCCGTATGTCCAAGTTTCGAACTTGTCGAGAGCCCAAATAATTGCATACGCCTCTCTTTCTATAGTGCTTCCATTTAGACTGAGCGCTAGTTAATTTCTGGCTAGCAAATGTTATCGGTCTAGCTTTCCCATACTCATCTCGTTGAAGTAAACACGCTCCAATACCTATTAGTGAGGCGTCTGTGTTAATTTCAAAAGGTTTCCGTAAGGTTTCCGTACATATATCCGTATTTAAGGTACATATATACCGTATATAAAGTACATATATACGTAATTATTATATTATGCCGTGTGCACAAAGCATCCTTTAATTCTTTGAATGCCTTCTCGGCTTCAGACCCCCAAGGTATATCATTAGGTATAGATTTTCTCGTGAGATCAGTTAACGGCCTAGCTATTTTTGCATAATTCGGAACATACTCTCTATAGTAATTATATAACCCCAAAACTGATCTTAATGCCTT